TACCTGGTGAGGTAAAGAAAACCCAGTACTAGGGAGAGACAAAGGCGGCCGGGTGTGGCGTTGGCCACACACCCGCTCGAGTGCCGTGCCGGCCTTCGCGGATGCTGCTCGCTAACAGGACTTGCCCCCAAAGTCGGTTGTAGCTATACGGGGGATCTTTGTCTTTGTGTGTGCGTGTGTGCTTACAATCAAAGCCATATGGGACATCCACAACGCGCACGCGTAAATAAACAATGACGTGGCGGGTCTTTTCACTCGCGCCATACTTCACCACTCTGGTCAGCTATCACTACCCTTACCCCTATCACTACCACTATCACTATCCCCGTCACTACCCCTCTCACTATCGCTCGGGTCTAGGGGTCTTGTTCTGGTATCTAGGGGGCAGCTCGGGTCGAGGGATCTTGTTCTGGTGTCTAGGGGGCAAAACCCCCCTGGAACAACCCCCCTGGAACAACCCCCCCTGGAACAAACACCCTGGAACAACCCCCTGGAACAAACCCCCTAGGAACAACCCCCCTAGGAACAACCCCCCCTGGAACAAACCTCCTAGGAACAACCCCCTGGAACAACCCCCTAGGAACAACCCCCTAGGAACAACCCCCTAGGAACAACCCCCTAGGAACAACCCCCCTAGGAACAAACCCCCTTGAACAAACCCCCTGGAACAACCCCCCTGGAACAAACCCCCTGGAACAACCCCCCTGGAACAACCCCCCCTGGAACAAACCCCCTGGACCAAACCCCCTGGAACAACCCCTCTTGAACAACCCCCCTGGAACAACCTCCCTGGAACAAACCCCCTAGGAGCAAACCTCCTGGAACAAACCCCCCTGGAACAACCCCCCTGGGCCAAACCCCCTGACTGAGACGGCGTGGGCAGGAGACCTTCATGCAGCAGTGGATCGAGCAAAGGCCGACCACTCGTCTCATTGATCATTCTTAATGCCATGCGGTTGCAAGACAAAGGTGCTCCGTGTAGCCTTAACAGACTGTAGGGGCAAGTGCTGTTAGCGAGCAGCACCTGTGCAGGCCGGCACGGCACACGAGGGGATGGGTGGCCAACACCACGCCCGGCCGCCTTTGTCTCCCCCAGTGGCGATGTTTACTACACACCGCACCAGGTACTCATTTGAGGCTGAGTCGACCTACCGTAGCACACACTCAGTGTGGCCGGGGTTTCCCTAACACCCCAATGTAGCAGGATCCTCGTGAAAATATTTATACAGAATCAGTGTGGATTTCCTGAGTAAATATCTAATTATTATTCTAACTCGTTCACTCTAAACACGCGTTAACTTATACACACAAAACTCATACACACACTAACTCATACACACGCTAACTCATACACACAAACTCATACACACGCTAACTCATACACACAAACTCATACACACGCTAACTCATACACACAAACTCATACACACAAACTCATACACACTGTAACTCATACACACAAACTCATACACACAAACTCATACACACGCTAACTCATACATACACAAACTCATACACACGCTAACTCATACACACAAACTCATACACACAAACTCATACACACTGTAACTCATACACACAAACTCATACACACAAACTCATACACACGCTAACTCATACACACAAACTCATATACACAAACTCATACACACAAACTCATACACACGCTAACTCATACATACACAAACTCATACATACAAACTCATACACACTCTAACTCATACACACAAACTCATACACACAAACTCATACACACAAACTCATACACACAAACTCATACACACAAACTCATACACACGCTAACTCATACGCACTCTAACTCATACACACACACAAACTCATACACACGCTAACTCATAAAAGACAAAGATCCCCCATAAAGTCTTAACAGACTGTTGGGGCAAGCGCTGTTAGCGAGCAGCTATGAAGGCCGGGACAGCACACGAGGGGGTGGGCGCTATCCGTGGCCAGGCGCTTGGGGCCGTGAACAGCCTCCCCCCACCCCCACAGCAAGCACACGTGCTCACACGGATATCACGGGAACAGCGTTGATTCGCCACGCAGTTTCATATCAATGCATCATTAATAATAATTATTATTATGTACAACACTGACGATCCAAAGTTTGTGCCGGTCATGGAGGTAGGAAGGGGGTGGGGGGGGCGGTGAGAGGTCCTTTGACCATACTTCACCACGCTGGTCAGTACGGGTTGGTTGAACCTATGGCATAGATGATGGTGGGTGGTCCCAGAGTAAATTTCCGATATCACTTCGCCGCCACTGATGTTAGCCGTGGTGGGGAATCGAACTCAGCTCCGGCAAACTGCAGCGCCTCCTCAATTTTCATTCAAACTTCCTCCGCCAGGGCTCATGTCCTGTGACAACGCCTATAAGTCATTTAAAAAAAAACATTTTCAGTTCTCTACAGCCAGCAGTGCACTCGAACGCGTGTTTAAAACGGCCGCGGAAGACAATGTCACGGAGCTCGCGCCGAAGTCGCGTTGCAGCGGCCTCTGTTGTTCACGCGAGCAGGCAACACGCCGCCTGTTGCCTGCTCGCCCCGCACGTCAACCAAACCGTCAGCTGTGAGCCTCACAGCTGACGGTGTTGCCAAGCTGTGTGAAGACGCGAATCTTTTATTTGATGTTTTAATGCTCCATCATTGGTGGCTGGGGATAAAGCCACCGACACTGAAGAAGCTGCTCTACTCACAGCTCAGTTTATGTGAGTCTATGGGTCTCTGTGTGTGTCTATAGATGTCTGCGTGAGTCTACGGGTCTCTGTGTGTGTCTATGGGTCTCTGTGTGTGTCTATGGGTCTCTGTGTGTGTCTATGGGTCTCTGTGTGAGTCTATGGGTCTCTGTGTGATTCTATAGATGTCTGCGTGAGTCTACAGGTCTCTGTGTGTGTCTATGGGTCTCTGTGTGAGTCTATGGGTCTCTGTGTGATTCTATAGATGTCTGCGTGAGTCTACGGGTCTCTGTGTGTCTATGGGTCTCTGTGTGTGTCTATGGGTCTCTGTGTGTGTTTATGGGTCTCTGTGTGAGTTTATGGGTCTCTATGTGATTCTATAGATGTCTGCGTGAATCTACGGGTCTCTATGTGAGTCTATGTGCCTCTGTGCGAGTCTATGGGTCTCTGTGTGCGTCTATGTGTCTCTGTGTGTGTCTATGGGTCTCTGTGTGAGTCTATGGGTCTCTGTGTGAGTCTATGGGTCTCTATGTGAGTCTATGGGTCTCTGTGCGAGTCTATGGGTCTCTGTGTGAGTCTATGTGTCTCTGTGTGTGTCTATGGGTCTCTGTGTGAGTCTATGTGTCTCTGTGTGTGTCTATGGGTCTCTGTGTGAGTCTACGGATCTCTATGCGAGTCTTGAGAGTCATCAATGACCGGGCTGAACCAATAAATTCACTCCGCTCCAGAACTCGGTTTCAGCACGGGCAGTGTCTGAGATGCCCGGATTCGAACCCAGGCCCTCAGCGTTGCCGGCTTCGCGTCTTCTGACCTCTCTGAGCCGCTCGGCCCACTGCATCTTTCAAGCTGCCGGCATAATCGGTGTTAAAAATGCACAATCAACACTCACCCCTCCTTATCCCGAAGGCAACGCTGCCGTACAGCCCAGCCAAATCACCCACGCGGTGTTTTTTTGCGCGCACAATGGAACCGACCTCTCTCTGCCGCGAGACCGTGGAACTTTGACCACTTTCTCAGGCCAGCCAGCCGCATGACGGTAAACAGAGAGTTGGGGCAAGTGCTGTTAGCGAGCACTCACGATGGCCGGCACGGCACACGAGGGGGTAGTTGGTTCAGCACCATCCCCGGTCGCCTCTTTCTCCCCATTTGCGATGTTTAGACACCGGACCAGGTACTAATCTGAGGACGAGTAGACATAGGGGAGGTCCAGGATGGGTACAGATAATTGTTACTGGTATTGGCCATGAGCGGGAATCGAACTCGGGGCGTCGGGTTCGTAGCGCAGCGCACTAACCACTACACTACCGCTCCCCGGACACTCACTCACACTCAATCACACCCGCACTCACACACTCACACCCACACTCACTCCCACACATTCATTCACACTAACACTCAAAAAACTCACTCACACTCACTCCCACCTTCACTCATACACATTAAGACACACTCACACACTCCCACTCACTCCCACTCACTCACACACTCACTCACACTCACTCCCATTCACTCACTGACATACTCCCACTCACTCACTCACACACTCACACATATTCAAGTCACACTCACACTCACTCTCTCCCAAACACTCACTCAACTCACACTCACACATACACACTCAACTCACACTCCCACACTCGCTCAACTCACACTCACTCACTCACACACTCACTCACACACTCACTAACACACATTATCACAGACTCACTCACTCACACACACTCTCTCACACACTCACACTCACTCCCATTCACTCACTGACATACACACACACACTCCCACTTACTCACACTCACTCACACACTCAGTCACTCAGTCACTCACTCACTCCCACACTCACTCACTCAGTCACTCGCTCACACAGTCACTCACACAATCACTCACTCACACACTTACACACACACTCACACACTCACTCGCTCACACACTCACTCAGTCACTCGCTCACTCAGTCACTCGCTCACTCACACACTCACTCACACACTCACACACATTAACACACTCACACACACTCACACACACTCACACTCACTCACACACTAACACACTCACTCACACACTCACACACACTCACACACACTCACACTCTCACACACTCACTCGCTCACACACTCCCACTCACTCACACACTCACACACACTCACACACTCACACACTCCCACTCACTCACTCACACACTCACTCACACACACTCACTCACACTCACACATTAACACACTCACTCACACACTCCCACTCACTCACGCCTCTCGTTTTTCGACCAACCCGCACAAAACGCCGGGTCCACGCGCCTGGCGCACATCACTCACCTTCGCCTGGAGATCAAGCTACGCAATGCAGCTGCTGCTGATGATGCTGCTGCTGATGTTGCTGCTGCTGATGGCACTTCTGATGATGATGCTGCTGATGATGATGCTGCTGCTGATGTCCCTGCTGATGGCACTTCTGCTGCTGATGATGATGACGCTTGTTGTTGTTGTTTGTTAATGCCGGTTGCTGGTTAGTTGTTTCACGAGGTCACGCGAGTTGGCCGCGAGTTAAATCCCGGGGCTGACAACTCGTGCCTTGCGGCAGCTTCCCCGGCCGGCGTTCTGAAGCCCTCTCTTCTCTCCTCTCTCGCTCTCTCTCGCTCTCTCGGGGAGCACGGGAAGAAGCGAGCAAGCGTTCCCCCCCACCCAACCTCGTTAGCCGGGGACGTGGCCGACTCTTGCTGCAACCTCCTCCTGCTGCTGCTGCTACTGCTGTTGCTGCTCCAAGTCGCTTGCGTGAGTGAGCGCCGCTGCGTTGAGCTCCTTGCAGCGAGTGGCATCCGCGGTGTGCAATGATCGGGCTTTAAGTAGTCACGGTATTCGCGACCTTAATGGTTGGGGGAAAGGGGGGGTAGAGAGAGGGGGGGGGGGTAGAGAGAGGGGGGGTGGTGAAGGGGTGGGGTGCTGGGGATGGATTTGGGTGGTGGTGTGGGTGGTGGAGATGCGAGTGAGTGAGCGAACGGGTGGCCCTTGTCCACCCAACCCCCCACCGCCTCGACGCGCCGTCCCTGCCCCCTTCGTGAGGCGCCGCTCGCGGGACTGCACTTGCCCCCAGAAGCGTGCCGAGGCTACGCGGGGGACCTTCCCCTTTACTTCGAGCGGGTTGGGCGGTCGTAGTCGCGGTGCGAGCCGGGGGAGGTGAGTCGCCTTGATGCTCGTGATGGAGGCGGGGTGGTGCTGGTGCTGGTGAGAAGGGAGAGCCCACGAGGAGGAGGAGGAGAGTGGGAAGTTCAGAGGGAGGGAGGGAGGAGATGCAGGGGGTAGAGGAGATCCCGGGGCTTCGGAGGAAATTGCGGAGAGACGATTCTCGGGGTGGCCGTTGCCTGTTCATCACCCTGCTCGTAGACTCCGTTGCTGGATTGTTCCCGAATGCGATGCCTGTTAACACTTTGTGTGTGTGTGGGTGTGTGTGTCTGTGTGTCTGTGTGTGTGTCTGTGTGTGTGTGTGTCTGTGTGTGTGTGTGGGTGTGTGTGTGGGTGTGTGTCTGTATGTGTGTGTATGTGTGTGTATGTGGGTGTGTGGGTGTGTGTGTATGTGGGCGTGTGTGGGTGTGTGTATGTGTGTGTGTGTGAGGGGGGAGGAGGTGGGGAAGGGTGAGCCCCTGTAACGCGATGCATGCACGGGGAGTTTGCTCCCTATCCCAGTGCCCTTTGACAGAGTCTCGCACCACGTGGGTGTCACCCATCGCGATCGGGCTTGACAGGGCAGTGCCCAGAACGCGCCTGTTAGCAAGAGCCACCTCGGTTCGATTCCGGACCCGGGCACATTTTACGTGCGGGGTTTGTATGTTACACTCCCCTCCCCTCCCGCCTTATTCTGCAGAGTGTGTCAGAGGAGTTTGTATGTCCACCCCTATGTTCGCTAGAGCGTGAGTGAATGCGTCTTTAGTGTTCGTAGGTCGACTCAGCCTCAAATGAGCATTTGGTGCGATGTGTAAACGTCGTCGCGGGGGAGACAAAGGCGGCCGGGCATGGTGCTGGCCACCCAACCGACCACTTCGTGCACCGTCCAGGTCTTCATAGGTGCTACTCGCTAACAGCACTTGCCCCAACAGTCTCTTAAGGCTATACGGGTGATCTTTGTCTTTGTAGTTTGCATGTTCTCCCCCGTGTCCTGCGTGGGGTTCCCTCCCATAGCGAATAAAAATGCACACTCAGTGTGGTCGGGGTTACCCTACAAAGACAAAGATCCTCCGTGTAGCCTTAACAGACTGTTGGGGCAAGTGCTGTTGGCGAGCAGCACCTATGAAGGCCGGCACGGCACACGAGGGGGTGGGTGGCCAGCACCACGCCCGGCCGCCTTTGTCTTCCCAGTGGCGATGTTTACTACACACCGCACCAGGTACTCATTTGAGGCTGAGTCGACCTACCCTAGAACCAACACACAGGGTGTTCGGGGTTGCCCTAACACCGCAATGTAGCAGGATCCTCGTGAAAACATTTCTTCTGAATCGGTGTGGATTTCCTGAGTAAATATCTAATAATTATTATTCTAACTCGTTCACACTAAACACGCGTTTACTCATGCGCAAAGTAACTCATACACACACAAAATCATACACACACAAATTCAAACACACAAACTTATACGCAAACTGATACACACGCTAACTCATACACACAAACTTATACACAAACTCATACACACGCTAACTTATACACGAAAACTCATACACTCTAACTCATACACACGGTAACTCATACACACAAACTCATACATACAAACAGATACACACAAACTCATACGCACAAACTCATACACGCAAACTCATACACACGCTAACTCATACACACAAACTCAAACACACAAACTCATACACACTCTAACTCATACACACGCTAACTCATACACCCGTTAACTCATACACACAAGCTCATACACAAGCTAAGTCATACACACAAACTCATACACAAGCTAACTCATACACACAAACTCATACACACACACTTATACACACGCTAACTCATACAAACAAACTCATACACAAGCTAAGTCATACACACAAACTCATACACAAGCTAACTCCTACACACAAACTAATACACAAGCTAAGTCATACACACAAACTCATACACAAGCTAACTCATACATACAAACTCATACACACAAGCTCATACGCACAAACTCATACACACAAACTCATACACACGCTAACTCATACACACAAACTTATACACAAACTCATAAACACGCTAACTCATGCACACAAATTTATACACAAACTCATACACACGCTAAGTTATACACGCAAACTCATACACTCTAACTCAAACACACGCCAACTCATACACACAAACTCATACATACAAACTCATACACACAAACTCATACGCACAAACTCATACACACAAACTCATACACACGCTAACTTATACACACAAACTCAAACACACAAACTCATACACACTCTAACTCATACACAAGCTAACTCATACACAAAAGCTCATACAGAAGCTAAGTCATACACACAAACTCATACACAAGCTAAATCATACACACAAACTCATACACACACATTTATACACACGCTAACTTATACACACAAACTCATACACAAGCTAAGTCATACACACAAACTCATACACAAGCTAACTCATACATACAAACTCATACACACAAGCTCATACGCACAAACTCATACACACACACTCATACACTGTAACTCATACACACGCTAACTCATACACACAAACTCATACAGACAAACTCATACGCACAAATTCATACACACAAACTCATACACAAACTCATACACAAGCTAACTCATACACACAAACTCATACACAAGCTAACTCATACACACAAACTCATACACACAAACTCATACACACGCTAACTCATACACACAAACTCATACACAAGCTAACTCATACACACAAACTCATACACTCTAACTCATACACACGCTAACTCATACTCACAAACTCATACACACAAACTCATACACACAAACTCATACACACGCTAACTCATACACACAAACTCATACACAAGCTAACTCATACACACAAACTCATACACACAAACTCATACACACGCTAACTCATACACACAAACTCATACACAAGCTAACTCATACACACAAACTCATACACTCTAACTCATACACACGCTAACTCATACTCACAAACTCATACACACAAACTCATACACACAAACTCATACACACGCTAACTCATACACACAAACTCATACACAAGCTAACTCATACACACAAACTCATACACTCTAACTCATACACACGCTAACTCATACACACAAATCCATACACACAAACTCATACACACGCTAACTCATACACACAAACTCATAAACTCTAACTCATACACACAAACTCATAAGCACAAACTCATACACGCAAACTCATACACACGCTAACTCATACACACAAACTCAAACACAAACTCATACACACTAATCCATACACACGCTAACTCATACACACGCTAACTCATACACAAACTCATACACAAGCTAACTCATACACACAAACTCATACACAAGCTAACTCATACACACAAACTCATACACACACTTATACACACGCTAAGTCATACACGCAAACTCATACATAAGCTAACTCATACACATAAACTCATACACAAGCTAACTCATACACACAAACTAATACACAAGCTAAGTCATACACACAAACTCATACATAAGCTAACTCATACACATAAACTCATACACAAGCTAACTCATACACACAAACTAATACACAAGCTAAGTCATACACACAAACTCATACACAGGCTAACTCATACACACAAACTCATACACACAAGCTCATACACGCAAACTCATACACACGCTAACTCATACACACAAACTCAAACAAACAAACTCATACACACTCTAACTCATACACACGCTAACTCATACACATGCTAACTCATAAACACAACCTCATACACAAGCTAAGTTATACACACAAACTCATACACAAGCTAAATCATACACACAAACTCATACACACACACTTATACACACGCTAACTCATACACACAAACTCATACACAAGCTAAGTCATACACACAAACTCATACACAAGCTAACTCACACACACAAACTCATACACAAGCTAAGTCATACACACAAACTCATACACAAGCTAACTCATACATACAAACTCATACACACAAGCTCATACGCACAAACTCATACACACAAACTCATACACACGCTAACTCATACGCACAAACTTATACACAAACTCATAAACACGCTAACTCATACACACAAACTTATACACAAACTCATACACACGCTAACTTATACACGCAAACTCATACACTCTAACTCATACACACGCTAACTCATACACACAAACTCATACATACAAACTCATACACACAAACTCATACGCGCAAACTCATACACACAAACTCATACATACGCTAACTTATACACACAAACTCAAACACACAAACTCATACACACTATAACTCATAAACACGCTAACTCATACACAAACTAACTCATACACACAAGCTCATACACAAGCTAAGTCATACACACAAACTCATACACAAGCTAAATCATACACACAAACTCATACACACACACTTATACACACGCTAACTTATACACACAAACTCATACACAAGCTAAGTCATACACACAAACTCATACACAAGCTAACTCATACATACAAACTCATACACACAAGCTCATACGCACAAACTCATACACACAAACTCATACACTGTAACTCATACACACGCTAACTCATACACACAAACTCATACACACAAACTCATACGGACACATTCATACGCACAAACTCATACACAAACTCATACGCAAGCTAACTCATACACACAAACTCATACACAAGCTA